AATGTTTCATCAAACTTACTTTTGGATATTACAATTATTGTCACAAACACGAGATAGAATTTAGCGAAGCCACAATGAAACAATTATCTGGAAAGCTTCCAAAATTATCGAAAAATTGAAAGCGCACAAAATTCAAATAAAAATCAAAGCAAGTTTATAGAATGCTGATTATATATAATCGTGTACTACGAAACCTATCCTAATCGACTTGAAAATATGTAAAGAAACAACAAGAATTGTAACGGCTTATGAGAAGTGTTACCTCTGAATTTTTAATTTGGGAATGTGACTTTTACATTGAAATGTCCGTAGGATAGTCTTTAAAGTAATTACATTTTATAAAGTTATCGAGATCTGTACACTCTTTTATATGAATAACCTACCCAAGCGTTCAGTTTATATTGACCTTGAAACGTTTGTTTGCAGCTACGATATTCATAGTGACTGCACTGATATTTAATTTTTAAGCAGGTCTGCTCTTTATCTTAACCGCACTGGTTGCTTTTGAGCCTATTGTGAAAGATATATCCAAAGGTACGTGTATTTTTTTAATACTATCGTTTTGATCTCTAAATCCTGAGTAATGTTTTTACTACTATTGTCATTATTTTTCGAAAGGAATTTCCTTGGTTTTCTCTCCCATCATTTAACTAAGCAAGAGACATATATGCTTTTGTGAGTATACATTCTCTTGCCGGCGTGCACGTGTTTGTGTGTATAGGATTTTAAGTGCGTATATATGTATATTAAAGTATGTGCATTAATATGTATGTGTGTATATACATACACAGGTATGTTTATAAGTGTTTGTTTGTCTACATATAGGTTTGCATATTTGTTTACATATAACTGGAAGCTATTATACTAAGCTTTTATTATGATAAAATTATCCGTCCGTGAATGGCAGTAAAAGTTGAATAGTATAAGAACTGTTCATATATTCATTAATAATCTGAAACCTGAAACAATGATTGCATTGTTATGCATAAATATATTTTGTGTAGCCTTTGGTATATGCCTCTGTCTATATTGTCTGCAATTTTTGTTCATGATTGCAAATTGTAGCGATCGTCTATAAACAAGATAATACGTATCCAGTTTTTTGTCCATACATAAAGATTCTATTTCCAAGATTATGAACTATAAAAATGTTCAGAAGTTAAATTCAACCTATAAACTTGATGACAAGTTTGGAGCAATTTATATTTTCTAGTAGGGTCAGGTGGGTTCCTGGAAGACGTTAAGTTATTTCAATTTGAAGGGTCAGTCAGATAGGTTCTTTAACGATGTAGGTTATTGCAGAATGTCACGTATGGATTAGGAGAAAACCATATAAGTTTGCAGAGCTGGACAATAATTTATTCTTGTTTTCTATGCTTGTGCTGTAACAATAGTCAGCAGATGTGTTTATTGCTGTGTTTTGACATAAATAGAGAGGAAACAATTGTTTGGATTATTTATTGGAATTACAAAGTACACATTTTACTGATATATTATGGTACTGTTGCTAATTTATACAAAGGAGTTCTGGACAATGTCGTGATACATTCAGGGATCTGAAATTCATTCGGAACAATATATTTTATACATGAATAATGCTTGTTAGGATTATATTGGATTTAATTAAAATACTGTTAGAACCTTTGAAATATTAATTTTGTAAGTTCATAATTAAATCATTTGTCACGTTTTTTAAATTTTAAAAAAATTATTTTAATTGCCTCTTTTTGTTACTTACTTTATAACCATATAGTTTTAACAGGTTTAGACCATATAGTAGTAACATGTTTAGATCATTATAATCCTTACACTAATTCAAATATGATTTCAATTTTCTTTTTACAAATTTCACATGATGCATGAAATATATTAAGTTTCATATTTGTTAATGGAATGGGTATGTTAAGTTGGAACAACTTGTGCATATCCTTTTTCTTTCCAAATATATATGAAAGCAAAGTCAAATGTGTTGATTTAATCCTCTTACGTCATTCTGTACATCGTCGAAGCCAAACTAAAACTACTCTACTAATCTATTCTGACTAATTATATTGTTTTCAATCATGCTCTTATAGACTCGAAGAAAATCGTGATATACACCTTCTATTCGTCTGTTTGCCTATCCATCTATTTTTGTCCGTTATATAATCGCTTCATAAACTGCAAAAGCCGAAATCACCAAAACCACTTATTTGCAAGCCGTCAGTATGTCAGTAATATACAATAGGAAAATTAGTATAGGCTCCGTTTTCGTGGTTTCTATCGTGAGCTCATATAGCTAGCTAATGTACATTATTTCAAATATAGTAACATATTAAAAACTTTTCGTCTACATTTGATATATTTACTAATAGCATGAGGACACATACTATCTGCAAATAATATTAAAAACGACTGTCATAATTTGGATCGGAGATAAGAGAAGAATGAATTGACTCCGAAATAATTCAATTAAGGGATGGGAACATGAGCTATCAAAGTTAATGTTTGGATATTTAGCTTGCAAAAATATTTTAAGAGCACGTTGTGTTTTCAGAGATTAATTACTTGAATTAAATAATCTGAAAAAATAAGCTCCAGCCTAAATGAATTACTGGACACAACAATAATATATTTTATTGTAGTAAGATCCGAGAGCACGAATGATAAATTTTCGAATAAACAAGATTTTTTAAAACTAAGACGTAAAAGGAGACCCTGACATGGGTCAAAAATCCATTGCTTACCCAACTGATGTTCAGTCGAAGACAACGCAAGTTGCTGACCAAATTGTATGCGGTTTCTGTTTTGTTGTCGTCAGATGAGACAGAAAACCTGAGCCGCCAAAGTTGTACGGTGGCAACGACAAGGTAGAGGTGTTTATAAAATCGCTCATTGGCGCAGCAAAAACTAATTCTGAAACAGCTTGCCTCACCCACATACATGATTATAATCAACGATGACATTCACGAATTCTCCAAGGCTGGATAATACTGGATTTATGGAAGTTTCAGCTCAACCAAAGAAGTAATGCTCGATCTCTGCTATATCACTGGTGCAGTAGGAGTTTGATATAATGCATGAAATATACAATTGCGAATTAATCTAGACAAATCAAGAACTTAGCAGTGCTTCATAATCTGTGCGGGTATGATAGCCACGTGATTATGCAAGCAGTATCAACAGCGTCAAATGCACCAGTAAATGTCATAACAAAAACGATGGACAAATACATGACGTTCAGACTGGGCCATCTGCTGTACTTTTTTTGTTACAGTTTCTGATTTTCCCTCTCAATAAATGCTGAGTAACATCGAGACAAGTGCTAATAATCCTCTTTCAATAGGTCGATGCGCTCGTGCTGTTATGATGGAACGTTTACCTCTCTTGCTCAGTCTTTCCCGAACACTACATACGTGATTGGAGCAAGTTTGCCGAAATTTGGCACCGATCGAGGCATTATATTAATAGTTGTCTCGCTAAGACATTTTCGATAGCTACTGCGTACATGCAAAAAACGTTTGGTTAGTATATGGCTGTTAAAACATTAGCGACTATCACGATCTGTATCTTCGCACGGATGTGTTACTGCTCGCGGATGTATTTGGATCTTTTCGTTATACTTCCATGCTTGAGCACAAGTTGGATACCGCGCACTACTTTTTGTCACTGGAATGACCTGGGATGTGTTGCTGTCAAAAACTAAAATCGAGATGAAGTTGCTCACCGAAGTTGATCAGCATTTCTTTTTTACAGCGTGGATACCGTAATGCTCGTTTCCAATTATTGTGCAAATGCATATATTGTCTTAGTTTCACTTTCTTCTTGAAACTCAATGCAAAATGCAAACAAATAAATTTATAGCATTAAGGATTTTTGCACAATAGGCCTGAAAATACAAATCAAATATGATGCTGGTTAAAGCCTATTTATCAGAGGGTTTTGGAAAAGGGAGGTTACTTTAGTTTGACTATTTGACAGATGATGTAGACTAAGGACTTTGATTCAAGACTACGCCATCAGTAAAATCTCATTTGACATTAACAGCTACGTTGACCACGGGTTTGTTTCTCTAAACATCATTAAATGTCTCATATTTGTTACTCTAATATTGACTTTATCCATATTCTTTATTTTTCATCACCGATGAATAAATTTCTAAAGAACGCTTAGTGAACACTGAGGATTGAAATAAATTCCTTGCATTTTGAATTTGTTGTACAATAGTGTTGTTTAATATCTGACTAAAATTGTCATGATTTTTTTAAAAAGGAATCGTTATCGATTTCTTAGTTTTGTCATTGAATTGATGTTGGTGGTAATAGTTACATATTTGTTTATATAGTGTGGGAGCTCTATTCCTCTTGCTTCTCGTAAATTATAAATATGTTGGTATAGTGTGTGAATATTACTATCTTTTTGGTTCCTATAGTATATTTGATATACGTAAGCACTTCTCTTCTTTTCTCTGTTCCAAATTAGTTTATGTGTATGTTTGTGTGTAATGCGTGTACGCACTTTTTTCTATGTGTGATAGTGTATAAGCATGTTTGTGTGTATAGCGTTTGAGCACTTCATGGATGTTTGTACGTATTACCCTCTTCATTAATGTTTGTCCCTACGTATGAGAAGTCCTGCCTTTCAGGGATGATTGTGTATATGTGTATGCGTGAGCACCCCTAGCAATACTGCATATTTTCGTTGATTAAAAAAAGTGGATTTGGTCAGTCCAACAGATGTATTGGTTAGGAGGTGTAGGTATTGGTCAGATGTGATGTGTGTGATTTTGACTTTTAATGTAGCTTTAACAATTTTTCAGTCATATCGCAACGATGTCTGCAGTGAAGCAGTTCATAGTGATGTCTAACACTGGGGCATCATGCCACAGACATGTAGCAGTATGTCCCACCCAATCGCATTATCCTGGCACCTGGCAGACCAGTCCTAACACTAACCTCTTAATGCTTAATGCTGAGCGCCAAGCGAGGAAACTGTTAGTACCATTTTTGTAAGTTTTTGGTATGACTCAACGGGTATCGAACCCACGAACTCCCGCATCCGAGGCGGACGCTCTAACCACTAAGCCACCAGTGCAGTGTGTTGGTCCGAAGATGAGTTCGTGTTGATTTGTCCAAAAGACTTGTTGATTAGCAAGTGTAGCTGTTGATCAGGAGATTAATGGATGTTGAGCAGTCAAAATGGCGTGTTGGTTACTAGATGTAGATTTCACTACTTTTCTCCTTATCTATATATGGTCACATAAGAACACCATGATGCAAATTTGAATTATGAAACTTTATCATTATTTTTGTTCTTGCCGCCAGTGTCATACTAATGTTAAACAGATGGACTAATGCCATTAGAATGTTATTTTGTCACCAGATAGTCATATATCCAAGATGGCGGAAGTATTGTTAATTCACATCGTCTCCACAGTGTCATGCTTAGCGAGAATCTCCAGATGGGCTGAAAAATCAAATGAATATGGGTTGGGGGAGGTTGGGGGATATTGTCACTGTTTTTGCTGGATATTTTTGTCCAGGCTTATGACAACATCATGTCAATGCATTGATATACTTTTCAGTTACAAGAAATGAAAACGGTCCTAAGATACACGAGTGTAAGAAACCAAATCTAAATAAGAAGGCTCAAAATTAGCTAAACGATATATAATATTTCAATATTAGTTTCTAAATATAATTAAGTAAAGACTCGTGAGCATTCTTATACTATCAAAGTGTTTATTATTTTATATATATTTTTGTAATATAATTCGTACAACAACCGCTTTTTTAGTTTTACAACCATAAATAAATCATATATCGGTTGTGTTCATTTTATTATTTTGTTCTTTGAGGCCGATTGTTCTCTAGGCAATGGATGTGTTTTTTTTTTCACTTAAGAACTTCATTTTCATCTGTACATTTTTTGTAATGTTCCTCTTTTAATAAAATTACCATCCAATAGCTGAATTTATTCATTTATCTTAAAAATCTCTTTCAAATCATACATTTATAGAGTTGTCTACCCTGTATCATATTATTTGTGCTCAGATAACTTTTTCTGGTATCTTGAGAAGTCTTAAGAATTTTAGAAATATATACTTGCGTCTATTTGTCTGTGATGACACAAATTTAGATAAATCTTTCCAACGTAATTGCATTTAACCAAATTGGATTTAGTTGGTCTCTGGGGATTGTTTTATTATCTTTTTAAAATTCAGATAAATCTTTTTGTTCTTAACCCATTGTGGCAAATCTATGTACGAGCATTCTCCGAGCTCTTCAGAAATGTAAACTATTTAATCGAAAAAACATCTGCTTATTTCCTTTCCGACATTATATGGCTAGTTCAAGGATACAAATGTCTGTACTCAATTTCTTTTGCTTCCTGAATAGGCCGAATGGTACGTCCTATCCTTAAGTCAAGTAAAATGACAATGTATATTGACTTACAAATATTTTTTTATATGTAAGAATGTTTTAAAAAATACCTAATTTTTGTGATGCGTTGTTTTCGTTCTTTGCAGGTTGGGGGAGGTTTGCAAAATGCCTATCTTTTTGTATATTTATTCTGTCTCTGTAAGTAGTTAAATCATGAATGCACTACTCACCACTCCTTGACTGCGGACACGTTCTCTTTCGCAGCCATTTTCTATGCTGTAACTTTAAGTTCCGTGTGTTACATGCATTGTCCTTTAACCATACAATGAATTTGGTTTTTATTATTTGAATTTCTTTTCAGTTTCATATGTGACTTCTGAGTGAGTATTTATGTGATACTGGAGAATGCGTCACGCTAATGTTTACATAATGCTAAGTATTACATTTTTATCAACATGTCTTGTCTCCAACCTTAATCAGATTTTTTTCCTGATCGCAATTGATCTGCGTGTTCGTTTGTTATATATAACATAATTTAAAAACATTTCTCCATTAGCAAGAATAAAGAAATTTTCTGGATTTGCTTTGAAATACAACGTTTCACCTTCGCATTATTGTCTTGGCTAACCAACACTATAAACTTACTATAGGCTTACATAATGGCAGAAAATATTTAATATATTTTAAACCGCGCATGCGCTAAAGCTGTAGTTTTTATTTTGATATTGTAGTATTCCTTCGCTTTAATATCTACTTTCAATATACACGCACAATTAAAAACAAAACGATTGCAGTGGTAGTGATATGGTAGAAGATAAATAACTGAAATCTAATTTTTCAGTATATTCATTTTGTTTGGCATGTATTGTAGACAAAGCCTTGCAAAAAAATAAAATCGATAGTCGTAACAAAAAATAGAAATGTGGCTTTGACATTATACGTTTGTATTAGGCTCCTAAAATGTATGCTACCAAACATGGCTCACGTGACTGATTGCACAGAGATTGCGTGCTGCTTTGTGCAAGCGATGCCATTTCCTGCTTGCTCTAGTTTTGAGTACATTGTGATCATTTTGTACATTGGTAGAAGGTCGTACTAATTTAAATTGCACAAGTGTCATTAATTAGCTTTGTGCAAGGGTAAATAACATACTGAGAGGATAAAAACTGGTAAGTGGATCATTTTGTTTTTCAATTATTTAGCTTCGCCCACACAAAATTAAATCGTACTAATTGGAATTAATGAAAAGTGTTAATTGTCTCAGTCTGTTTGATACTTATAGTCGATGAGCAGCAAGTTATGCAGGTGTTCCAATATTATGAGAGACCAAATAATTTTAGTGCAATCTAATACTTCTTGTCAGTGATTTCATTATCTAGGAAATAGATCCAATTGTACTTAACCTGTATAGTTAGTAAGAAGCCATTCAACCTACCTACATGTTTGTCCATCCATCCATCCATCTAATCTATCTAATCCATCTATCTTGTCTATATATCTAATCTATATATCTATTTATTTATTTGTATATTCCTCTACACACTACTACCCATTTCCATTATTAAACATTTGAAACGTGACCATTTAATGAAATGACTGAAATAAATGAAGGACTTTTGCTCTTGAGTGTACTAAGTCTGCATTTGTGTACAAACTATGTATGGACGTGTCTATCATTGTACTGAATGATACTTGGAGCCACTTAGAGAGAATTGAGTTACATAAAGCCCGTTGCTAACAACTTACTATGATCAACGATCTAACAAACAAAATATTCAAACGGGATATATTCTAAAAAAAGAGTTGCGATTTCCTAATAAGTATCTGGTTACTGATGTCCCATAGATAAACCTATCAATCCAGTCAACGATGTTTTGTTACTGCCGTTATAATATTGATCGCATAAGGCAAGTGCATTGATAATTCACAATACATTTATACCAAACCCAGGCAATATCGTGCAAACGCATCATGATATCGAGGATTGTTTACACGAAATCGGAAGATTTGGTTAAATTATATTTGTTTATCTTACGATCCTTTTAATGCGTCCATGCGAATTTTCTGGAATGTTCAATCAAGTTCTCCCATTTTGCAAAATCAAAACTTCTATTACTTGTATTCAAACCATCGGGTACAAAAGCGTTAAAGTATTTCGCGTTTCTACTGTCGAATGAGAATGTTTGAAGGAAAATATTGCAGAAAGGTTGATTTGTTTCAACATCAAGCGAAAAACTGCCGAGACATATATTTGTCGTATTTCAACAGCACGCCCGACGAGGAAACCAACAAAAAATAATGCAATATTTGACCACGCTGATGTCAGACGCATATACGCTAGATTAAATTCAAAGCAATATCCAGAACGAGCTATGGAATGCAATTTTGCTGATGACGCTAATAAAAATATTTCTTGACTGTACATGTATCTGCTTGACGCAATGCAAAAAGTATCAAGATGTTGAAGATGGAACTCAGATATCAGCAGAGGAATTTCGTACCCTTTATCCTATATTTCATTTTGATGTTAGTAAACATAACAAGCGAATTGTAGACAGCACAGCGGATATTGAAATTACCTGGACACTTGGGGCGGTTCCAGTAGCGCCGTTGTACGTATACGCATTAGTGGTTAGTGATAGATTTATCACGGTAGATTCTATTGGAGGTAAAATGACAGTTCAAGTTTAATCTACAGTTATTATATAAAATGGCAAAATATATTGTAAAAGATGTATATTTGACCGATGGCCAAGTTAAAAAATTAGTAGCTGCTATTGCAAAGCGAGAACAGGTATCATTAAAAATCAATCCTAATATTTCTGATGGTGTTTTAACAAAATTAATGCTAACAAAAAATCAAGTGAAGAAGTATGATCGTAAAAAAACTTATTTTAAATTTGAGTGCTGCACAAATGACAGCGATGGCAAACGACATTGTCGTCAAAGGTGGTTTTCTTGGTCCGGCATTATCAGTATTAGCTAGCACAATAATACCTAAAGTTTTGCCGGTGTTGGGAACATTAGGACTAGTAGCAATGTCAGGAGCAGTCAATGGCGCAACGAAGAAAGCTGTTGAGGGTAATGGTATCATTCGTGGAAGTGGAATAAAAAAATTGTAAATTTTATGTAAATGATATATTATAATGCCACAACGGAAAAAGAAATCTCCAACAACAAAATCGCCAGAAAAAAAGAAAACAAAAAAAGAAAACAACAAAATCGCCAACACCAAAATGCAACTGCAAATGCAATCAAACAAAACAAGGAGGAATTATTCCATTCGCTCCACTTTTGGCGGGACTAGCGGGAAGTCTGCTGATAAATCTTTTAGGAATCGGACTTGGCCTAACATTACCAGGAACACGACCACCCCGCTGAGTAATTTTGATATAATCGATAAGTTAAAAGCGGTTCCTGGATTTCACGGAGTTTATTCTAAAGATGAACTCGCAGCAATAAAATCACCATCAGCTGTAAGTTCGTGTGTTATTAATATTCAAGATTTTAATGACGGATCCGGTACACATTGGGTAGCAGTTGATAATAATTATTTTGACTCGTTTAGACTTTCTCCAAGCGATGTAATAAAAAGGTATATAAACAAAAAATTTAAAAAGGTATATTATTCGTCAAATCAACTCCAACCTGTTGGAACGTCAGCTTGCGGATATTATTGTAGAATGTTTATCCGACAGATGAGCAGAAATCT